TAGCAGGTGGCAGAGAGCATGTAGCAGGTGACAGAGAGCACGTGGCAGGTGACAGAGAGCACGTAGCAGGTAGCAGAGAGCACGCAGCAGGTGGCAGAGAGCACGCAGCAGTTGGCAGAGAGCACATAGCAGTTGGCAGAGAGCAGGTAGCAGGTGGCAGAGAGCATGTAGCAGGTGGCAGAGAGCATGTAGCAGAGAGCACGTAGCAGGTGACAGAGAGCACGTAGCAGGTGGCAGAGAGCACATAGCAGGTGGCAGAGAGAACATAGCAGGTGGCAGAGAGCAGAAATCATGACACCTGTGCTCTTTTACAGCATTTAAAATTTAGAACATTGAAAGAGTGGGAAGGGTTTATAATGCCTTGATATACACATAAATACTAAAATAAATATAATGTCCCTACTTCGCGTTTTTTCACTTATTGCGGGTGTGTCCAGAACGTAACCCCCGCAATAAACAACGGACTACAGTACTGCAAAATTTTATATGGGTACTCACCTCTGAAGATACAACTTGAAAGATGAGTTCAGCTTCAGCGTTATTTGTGACTTTCCTGCCAGTTATGTTGAGCTTAACAGATACACTGTTTCTTCTGACTTTGTGTTGCAAATCTGTTTTTAACCACATCAGTTTATCTGCTAGTGTTCGCTCCCTCCATTGCTGTTCTATAAATTTTGGCAGAAAGCAGTGGCCGGAAGAACTGTTGGCTTCTGGGCCGTGTAGTTCTTTTGTCTTGCGTTACAGTGAAGGCTTACTGAAAAAAAACTAAAAAACGGCGGCACCTGCCCAAAGTATTTTTTGTTTTTGTTTTTTGTCCTATTGGTTGGTTCCCGCTCCCATCCGCTCCAGTCAACTTTTTATCTCGTACCGTCCCAATCATGAGTAATAATAAAGTTGACATTCGTGTGTCGTGTACAATCTTACGTTGAAAACCTGCGAAAGAGTTAGTCTTCAAAAGTCAAACTGCGAAGTATCAAGGGCCTACTGTATTCACACATTTTTGCTTTGAAATCCAATCATTACCTTCAGAAGTCACATAATATTAAGCCGCCTATGAGCAAAGGAAGTATTAAATGATTTCATGATGTTTATACCTGTACTGACAGCCCCCAACAGTAGTTCAACACCTCTGAATAGTAAGGTCTACTGCCCAGACACAGACATGATGACCAAAGAAGTTTCCACACCGTTCAGAGACAAAATTATGAAGTAGTGCATATCATAGTTTGGATATAAAAATAATTTCAGAACATTTCATGGAGATTCATTAAATTAAAACCTGCCAAGAGAGGATCCATCCATCCATCCATTACCTTATACCCGCTTCTTCAATTTTGGGTCATGGGGGTCGCCGGTGCCCATGTCCGGCAATCACTGTGCGAGGGGCGGGTACACCCTGGACAGGTCTCAGTCCATCACAGAGACACATAGAGACAAACGAGACAAACAACCATTCACTCTCTCACTCACACCTAGAAACAATTTAGAGTTACCAATCAGCCTAACATGCTTGTTTTTGGTCTGTGGGAGGAAACTGGAGCACCCGGAGAAAACCCGCGCATGCACGGAGAGAACATGCAAACTCCACCCAGAAAGGCCACCAGACCGGGATTTGAACCAGGGACCTGCTTGCTGAGAGGCAGCAGCTCTACCTGTTGCGCCACCGTGCTGCCCCAAGAGAGGATCATCCACCAAAACTCAGAGATCAGTGATTTATGGTGAAGGCCAAAGATAACCCTGATGGAAGACAACCTGGTAGAGCTGGGCAGCTCTTCCTTCAGAGATGAAAAAGTCTGTCCATATGACCAATACTGTATAAGATGCACAGAGCTAGGCTTAATGAAGGAATGACCAGGAAAAAGCTATTGCTTAAAGAAAAAAAGACAATTTGCCTAAATGAAAACTGGAGAGACCCTAAACATGTGGAAGAAGACATTGTGGACAGATGAGACTACAATTGGACTTTTTGTCCATCAAAGAGAAGACATTACTTCTGTAGCAAACAGAATACAGTACTTCTCATCACTATGAAAATACCACCTGCACTGTGAAGCATGGCAGGTGGCAACATTCATGCAGTGACAATGTTTGTTAATCAGCAGGGACTGGGGAACTGGTCAGAGTTCAAGGAAAAAAGGATGGAGCAAAAGATGGAAGAATTCTTTAGAAGAACTTTGAGTCTTCCAGAGATTTGAGACTAGGATGGAGGTCCACCTTTCAACAGGACAGTGACCCTAAACACACGGCTGAATCAACACTTTACTGGTTTAAGGAGAACCCTTTAAATGGCCTAAATCCAACTGAGAATATCTGGTATGATTTTAGGATTACTGGACAAGCAGCACCATCTAACATGAAGGAGCTGCAGTAGTTTGGTCATGAAGAATGGTTTTATTCTGGCTTCCACTGCCACATGCCACAGTATCCTTAGACAAGATGCTGACCCCCAGGTTGGCCCTAAATTGTGTGAGTACATGTGGATAGGTGAAAAAAGCACAGTGGAGCAGTAATATGAGCTCCTTGCAGCAAGAAGATTGCAGGTGATGAGCCAGCAACCTGTCCATGGTGCATTTCGCTTCGTGTCTTATTCTTGCTGGAAATAGGCACAAACTGCTCATGGCTCGGGTTAAAAAACAGATAGAGCTTCAAAATGGTAGATATGTTGAGTAAATTAAATAACACGGCCCCACCCCACCCCCAAAATGTATTTTTGAACTTAAATTTCTTATTACAACAAAACAGAATAGAGAGAAATGTAAATACTTTTGCAACTCGCTGTGGTACAAAGGAAGAGATGGACTACTCCTTCAAGACAACTTTGAAAAACTGAAGGAAGTTCTAGCAGCATTAGATGAACTACAGCTGAAAATGTTTTATTTTATCGCCTTGTCTTTTGATATTACTCAGTGTCTGCTGTTCCCTAACACCTCAGGACACCTAATTTCATTAAGCCATCATTTACGGAAAACGCAAATGTAACTGGTGTCCATGAATGTCAAAAGGAAGCCAGTACATGTGCAGGACTAGCAGAACTTTGGCGGTCAAACAGAAGCATGCATTTCATGTTCCCACTGCCTAAATGGCAGCAGTGTGTTAAAAAGTCCAGGCAGGAATACTCACCGACATTGATGCATGGTCATTGTTGTTATTCTGAGCAGAAAACCCCAAACAAACCAAAAGTGGAAGAAAAGAGGGGGTTGGGGTAGTAAAGAAAAGAAAGGAAGGACAGAAAACAAACGTGCCAACAATAAATGGACAGGAGGAAGCAAATTCAACTAAGGTTGATCTTGGCTGTCTAAAACAATGTAATTAATCCAGGAGTAAAACAAACCAGCTACAACTCTGCCTAATACCAAGTGTGAACAGACAGGCAGGCCATATTCTTGAGGGAAATAAACAAATAAATAAATAATAATTAAAAAGCATCCATACAAATTAGCTGGAGCTCATTGAAGACATGACAAGGTTGGAGAGAACAGTGGTGGCCCGTTGAGACCGAACAAAGGACTGAACATACTGAAACTGATGACAGTCTGAACCAGAACACACAGACACTGATCAAGCCTTTCACATCCTGCTTTCACTAAACGTCTTGGTTTACTGAAGGTATCACCAATCTTCATGTTAGCAATACACAAATACCATGCACATGAAACATATCCAGAACAACACACACTCAGTACAACTTGAAGATCAACCAGTTCATTCTAATTCAGCACCCAATATTTTAGAGTTGTCATGAATATATAAACATAAAAAAAGCAGAAGCAGAGTGAAACAACAACAACAATCACAACCAACAGTGATCAACACAGAAACAACATTTAAAAAAAAAGCAAAAATGAGATGTAAAACTAAAAGCACTAAGCCATGAGAAGCAGCTCCCAGGGAAGATGTTGCACGTCACCGTTGTGAATTGATAAAACTCACCGGAAGGTGTGTGAAGACCTGAAAAGTGGAGCGAAGGAAGTTGATCAGGTCCATGAGGTATCCTGAGGCACGGCCGTCTGACTCAGACATATCCCACTCATAATCAGCTAGCTGGATAAACTCGTCAATTTTTTGGTTCAGTTTGGTGTAAATCTCTCCCTCTGCAGCATGACGAGCATCCTGAAAAATATTCAAGACTTAACAGAATGTAATATTCTTGTGGAAGAAGTAAAAACATCCCAAACTTGTACGCAATGATTGCATCTATAGACAGCGAGGGAATCCAGATCAATGCTGCCAAGGACAGGGTTAAAGCTATTGGTCTCATAAAGTACTGCAACACAAAAACCACCTTAGCTGCAGACCAGTGCATGTGAAATGAGTGCCCCAAGTAAACTAGGGGAAACACTGCGCTGATGGTTTTAAACAACACACGGGCTTTAAAAATGTAAATGTTGCAAAACGGAGAACGCTGGTGTGACACACTGAATGTCTCGTTATACTTAACTATACACAGTCCTGACTTTTAAAGGGCACAAATTCATGAACCGATTGAAATTTTGGATATCTTGGAAAAACAGTTTGTGTTTGCATGACTCAAATGACACAAACTAAAAAACAGTACCCTAGCACCTAGGGTTGCTCCTTATTCCTTAAATTTTAACAGCATCTAATGTGTAGCTGACTCCCCCATCCTGCTAAAATTATCTTCTCAGATTTGCACGAATCTCCTGGCTCTTCCAGATCATATAAAAAACAACTGGCAATCTGTGTAAAACCAAAATAAAACTTTTTCTGTAGATCTAAGGGTACACACAGGGTGGAATTGATTTGAGCCTACATTAAACAATTTATTTTGAACTTATTACAAATGGGATTAAAATACTTCTCTGTTGAATCTTTTGTTTTCTGTTGTTTTTAAGTTCCTCTGTTTCTTCTCATTGCTTAAAGTGAAGTCAAAATGTCTGTTTTATGAGTGGTGCCTTGATGAGGCTGTGCAATCATGATGCGTGGCTGTAGGTCAGTACAAAGGTCCCACCTGCACATCTGTTAACTCACCAACAGGCAGTCAGGCTGTCAGTTACAGTGAAACAGACCCTTTTTAAAGCCTTACTAAACTCTTTGAAACTTAATGCATATTTGAGGATACAGCAGAACAGTAAGAACAATGACTCATTCATATGGCCACGGTGCAATGAAAATAAAAGAAGAAAAAGAAATATATATATATATATATATATATATATATATATGCACACATACATACATACATACATACATTTTTTCCACAATTCTGAATTTTTTTCCCCAAAAATTCTGATTTTAATCTCAATATTCCGAGATTAAAATCAGAATACAGAGGAAGAAATGTCAGGATGGCCTTAATCCTCTTCCGTAGAATAAAAAAATAAATAAAATCAAACACCAGAAAAACCCCCAACTTATTTTAAGTGTACTTATTTTTATTATTTAGTCAAGAAAATGTTTCATTCATTTACATGGAGGGGTGTGAGAATCTGGACCGGCTCCGTCCCTGAAACCGGTCCGACTCTCCACCTCCAGCATCTGGTTCTTTTATTCCCAGATTGAGAGGAAACTCGCTCTAACTCAAATAAAAGAGAGATATAATTTCTGTTTACAATTTAATGTTCATCAGGCAGGAGAAAGTTATAGGTTCAGCGCTGAATGTCTCCGACTCGACACGCAAGGAGCTCACGGACCGGAAGAGCTGACGTGGCTCAACCCTCTGTCCTTTTACTTGGCCCTAGGCTCCGCCTTCTTCTGGGAGCACAGCCTATCAGAGTGTATCAGTGGGGTGACTATGTGTGACCTCATAGGTCTCATCTGTTTCTGATGAAGAAAAAATGGGTGTAAAGTGCAAATCTACGTGGTGGAAGCCAGCAAAATAAAAAAATTACTCCTTAACGGGTGTTGACCCTGGGAAGCTCACTCAGAGCAGCTGGGCCCATCTCATCTGTACAGAACCGGGCCAGAAACTAGTCCGACTTTGTGCACACAAGACTGGGGGTCTCAGCATGATAAAAGTAGGATAACACTAACCAGGGCAAGATTTGAAAATTGTACCCTCGATAGTCACTAGAGGGCACTATTTCACAGTGGCTTCAATTTTCAGCTCCCGGTCCTGTCTTTAGTTATAATACTGTATATCTTGACTGTGAAGCTTATTTTTAAGGTTCATACACTGAGTCACCACAGTTTTGTTTAAATAAAAACATTTTTGAAAAATAAAGGTGGCTGTGTAAATAGGTGTCTGGGCCGCCCTGCTTAAACTGCTGCACCCGACTCGACGCCAGAATAAGAAGCAGAAAAAAATATGGACACAAACAAAATCTTTGCCCACAAAAAACACAATTTACCTTAAATGTGGCTAAGCCATAGAGTCTTGTGGTGTGAACAGTTTCAGGAGAGACGTTAGTGATGTTTGTTATAAACTCCTCCAAATATTTACAGGCCTGCTCCAGGTGGGTGGTGTTAATGATAATCTGCACCAGCTACAAAAAAAAGAAGTTACAGTGAAGTAACAATATGCTTCTTTATAATGATACAAGTATAGTTCTTCCAAGAGTCGTTCCCACCTCAGTAAGACCTATGTGAGGTTTCTTGATGAGGTTTTGCAAACAGCTACTGAGAGTTCTCGTTAGCAGCAGGTTGGTTGATTTTCGCAACATGTCATCAACCTCTGTTGAACTGGATACATAAACAACATTTAGGTTCAGATTTGAGGGAATCTCCTCGTGTGCATGGAGGCTGAACAGATGCCAAATCACAACTATAAAACACCGAGTACACTGACTGAGCCACGCAATTTTCAAAGGTTATGGATTTTAAAATTAAAACTTTTCTTTGGTTTAATAACCTACCTGCGATGTAGTGACTCTGAAAACTTGAGGCTAGCATAAATAAACTCTTTGACTTGTGTGTAAATCTGAGGAACAGACTGGGACATTGGCAGCTTCTTAGGAAAGTCCTGCTGCTTACACACAAAAAATACAGCAAATATTCATACAGTCCTGTGATCCATACAAGTTATGAGCTAAGACTACCATGCTGTTAATTATGAGTTTGTAGACTTCTGAGGTAATGGAGCGTTACTTTGTTACCTTTTCAATCTCAGCATCATGGAAAGGAAAGCGACTGACCACTAGCTTGTACTCTTCTTCTGTTTCAACAGGGATGGGACTATAGTTGTCAGACTCAAAAATCTCCCTATAGAAAACAAAGCAGACACACACTTTGATTGTTTTGAACATCTATGTTGTACTAATGTCATTATTGTAATGAAAAATACAGTTGAAACCAGATGTTTGACGTAAGACATTTTTTCATGCTGTCTTGACACTAAATCAGACTACTGTACTTTCTGGTCTATAAGCCACTTCTTTTTTCACGTGCTTTGAACCGCGTGGCTTATACAATGCTGCGGATAATTTATGGATTTTTTTTTGGGACGGGCTAACGAGCTTCATGCCGCATCACATCTGGGCGCTCACAGAGCTGCCCAATGTGGGGGGGTCCTCGTGGCTCAATGAGTCTAACTGTATAAATAAAAGTTTAAAAAAAAATCTGATCAATGAAATTTCTGAACAGGTCACAGTCGAACCAATGAAACGGAAGAGGAGGAGAGAATGGTGGTGATGGGGGAATCCCCCTGCATGCAGAGCATGAGTCTCACAGAGCACTTTTTGCTCTGCAGAGCAGGACAGCTTGAAGATAGCAGTGTTTCCCCTACCATTATACAAACGAGGTGCCCCACCCTGTTAACAGAACTGAGCACCCCGCCTACCAAACCGACTCACCCCGCGGCACTGACAAGCGCTAAGCTAGCAGCGTGCAATACAGGTGCTCTAGCTAAAAAGCTAAAGGCAGCGCTCACGTTGCCTCTTCTCTCACATGGACCCCCCCACCACCACCACCACCACTCAAAAAGTGTCTGTACAAACAGCGCACAGCTCAAACGTGTCGTGCTAAGCTAGCGGCGCTCCATTCTGGTGCTGTAGCTAAAAAGCTAAAGGCACCTCTTCTCTCATGCTGAATGCCCCCCACACCCACCCTCGCTCAAAAACTGTTGGTACAAGCTGCGCTCAGATGTCTCCGTCTCCCCCCCCCCCCAACAAAAATCATGGATGAGATGAGCACCTCGCCATGGCAAGTTAACTAGGGGAAACACTGGATAGCGATCAATGACTTCCTGGTAGGCTACTGTATTTTTTGTTCAACAAGCCATGTTAAAGGCACTGTTCAGAAAAAAGCATTCACCGTACTGTACGTATTTGTGTATATTACTGGTATGTATTTAATTAAAAGTTTAAAATATATTTTTGTGTGACATATTTCTGTGTAAATATCTCAAGCTACAACGTGAACACCTGTGGCTTATACATTCATTCAACCTTTATTTATACAGGTTAGACTCATTGAGCCTCGGGACCATTTACAAGAGAGTGTAATGGTCAGCGGCTCCCTGCTGACCCCTCATCTGCTCGCACCTCTGCTTCTCATGCCATGTTTCTGCCCACCCTGCCATAATCCTGCCTTCATGCTCTGTGTTCTCCTGCCCATGTCTCCTGCCATAGTTTCTGCTGGTTGGTTGCTGGTTTTATCAACAATCAAGGAAGTCGTCAGCAGCAAATTGGGATCCGATCACACTGCTTGCCTTTATGATGGCTTGGTTCGTGCCTCGAGTACCCAGACTCAAATGCTTTGGGCAGAATGGATCAGATCTCGGGGATTTTACTCAGTCACGTTTCATACGTGTGGCCGTGTAATTTGGACATTTCGGAACAGAGTGGACCAACACAGACTCAAGGTAGATGTCATTAAGTTTTGTCTGTCCCCAAAACAACTGTGTGTTTATCTGAATTTGGCTCCCTTGGCTGGCCTTGAAGGTCATCTTATCTGAATTTGCCTGGAGAACATGTGATCTGACGCTCACCACCCCCTCCCTGAGGAATTTCCAACTGATAACCAGATGAAACCAGCTGAATAAACATTGTGTCATCATTTCAGGACTCTTGGATTCTCATAAGATGTTATTCTTGGCCATTCCCCGACATACCTCGAGAATGTTTATGGATCTCACCAGAGGAAACTGGCTGATTATTCCATCCTTATCAGAACTCTTACAGTGCCCTCGAGAGCATCTATGGACATGCTCACCGCTCTCGTCGTCTCCCCCTCTGCAGAATGTCTATGTCACTATGTGCTTGTTTGTGCGAGGTGTTTTTAACAGTATCAGAGTTTTTCTTCTCAGGCACGAAGAAAAAGTTTGAGAGGAATTTTTTTGCCTCCAATTCCTACAAGTGTCCAGTTTCACTACTTTTTGTCTGTCTAAACAGGTCTCACTTGTAAATGAGTCTTCTAGGCTCAATGTGACTTATCTGTCTAAATAAAGGTTGAATTAAAAAAAAAAAACTGTTCACCACACCCCCTTAGCCTAAGCACAGCAATCAGCCTTCATTCCATGCACCTGTTCAGCTCTCTATTTAAGCTCCATGCTCACTCTCTGTCCCTGCCAAATTATTAAACCTTCAGTGGTCCCTGATATCAAGCAATCCATAGTTTCATGCCACAGCCTTGCTTGCCTTGCCTCGACCTCACGCCTGTACCACGGTTTCCTCGCCTTGCCCGTTCCTCTTTGGATTTTTGACTTTACATCAGACTACCGTTAAAGACTCTGCTTTCCCTCCAAGACTAAGATTACGGATTACGACTTGGCTCTGGTGTCTGCTCTCTGTTTCCCCGTGTATGACCCCTGCTTCGTTATCTGGACCCTGCTCTTGGACTTGCCCTCCCACGAAACATGTACTGCAGCTGCTCTGCCAGTGATGTCATTGCTGACAGGTGACTCTCTCCCTACAGCCTGTGAGGACCTGTTAACACTTCTGATCCTGACTCTAGCAACCAGCAGCAAAAATAAATAATAACTGTTCTTTTTGTACGCCTGTGTCTGGCTTATTAAGAATCCAAAAACCCATTATTGACAGAGAGACCTGATTTAAACAAAGAGTGATGACAACAGTACGCAACAAAGACAACAATAGACAATCATAAAAGAAAGCATGTAAATTAAGAATGAAAGAAAATGGTATTAAAAAACAAAACAAAAAACAGGTTGTAAGGTGGTATAGAAAACTAAAAACAGGAACATGTCTGCATTGGTTTTTCTCAGGAACTTTACAGATGTTTGAAGCCACTTAGAAAGGTCAAGGTCAAGAGCTTCAGATCTTTTTGTAAGATATTCCAGGAAACAGGAGCAGAGTAGGAGAAGGACCTTTTGTCTAGTTCAGTCCTCATTGAGGGAACACTGCAGGTAATAATGTCCTGAGAGCGCACGCTGTAGCTGCACTCACACAGAGACATGTAGGAGGAGATGTATGAAGGCAGCAGACCAAGAAGTGATTTAAAGATGAAAATGTACCAGTGAGAGTCTGTGTGAAGTTAATGGTGTCCAGTTTTCATTCATTCAACCTTTATTTAGACAGGTTAATCCCACTGAGCCTCAAGGACTCATTTACAAGAGAGACCTGAAGAATATTCATTCAAACTTCGACCAGTTAACCAGTGAATATAAGGTGCAATGGTGGGTATGGTAGTTACAGCCAGTTATGAATCTTAGCGCACCATGATAGGCAGCGTTCATGTAAATGTGCAAAAAAAAAAAAGTATTTAGTGTGTGTGGCTTGTACTCAGGTGTGCTCTATAGATCGGCAATTACGGTAATCTTTCCCTGTTTTAGGTCACTTGGGATTCCCAACATTATTTATATTTGCTAAATGCACAAAAAGGGTGAGACCAACAAAAGACAAAGCCAGTGGAAAGAAGATCCACAAACAGTTTAAACGTATGACTTTAAAACAAAGTACAGTAATAAATATATCTTTAAAATAAATGTGTCTCATTACTCAGGTGTTTATCATGAAGAACTAATTTTGGGAATCCTAATAGACCTTCAAGAGGAAAGGTTTAGTCTGATTTACAGATTGTTGTCTTTTTATACAGTGTATGTAAACATCTGGTTTCAACTGTACATTTTAAAGCTAATGAGGAAATAAATAAAAGAATAAAGCTGCAGAGACCAATTTTTACTGATAGTAGTTTATACTCAACAGGGAATTTGTTTTTATTCTTGTCATTCACTTTTGTGTCTCATTAAATGAGAAAAATGACCAAATATTGTCACAACTTGATCATCTCATTGGTCAAATGTTACTTTTACCATTTCTACAATTCCTTGTGAAACTTTATTTGTTTTCTCATTATTTTCATCAACACAAAAATTATACACAAGTAAAAAATACACCAAAGTGCCCATTTGTTTGCCATCTAATATACAGTATATTTCTTATTTTAATGAACTAGTATTTTCAAAGATTCCTCTCCCTAAACAAGCAGAGACAGTTTCAGTGAAAGCAAAACGAATGAATCCCACCTGAAAACCACTGCCCACTTCTTCAGCAGAGTCTCGTTGTACTGGTCTCTGACCTCAAAGAGCAAGTCAAAGAGTCGGTTCACAGGAAAACCATAACCCTTCACACACATGTAAAGAAAACCATTTGTGTTATATAAATTTGTCTGACACTTTAGTCAAAATTTGTTCAGATTAGACAAACCTGTAGTGTGTCTGCAAATATAACTATGAGGTTCTTCAGCTCCAGAACCAGGTCGGGGTCCTCACAGTATGACTAGAGATTAAGGAACCAAATAATTAGCAAACAATCATCAAAAGTTGGACAAGAAAAGATAAACCAAAAAGAAAAGACAACTTAAATTTAGGTACCACTCCTAAACAATTACTCCTTTTTGATTCCTGAAAAACTAAAACAACAAAAAACTAACTAATGACCATGTGGAGTTTGTATAAATCTATAGAATAATAAAAGATAGCTGTGATGTTTGTGAAAATGTGTGGATTTATTTAGTCACTTTCACAAGGTTATGAACAATTTTTATTCATCAGCTGTTTGACTTTGAATGACCTCAGTTTGAATTGTTTTATATGAGAAACTCTGATAAATAAAAAAGATTTGTGCGCAGCACAAACTACCCTCCATCGTTACTGACGTTCATCTACATGTGTTAGTGCAGACAAACTGTCCACTGCAGTCATCTGCAGTGCGAGTGGACAATCTGACACAAGCACCGGGTGTTGCCCAAAACTCAGACAAGGATTCAAAATGTTTTGTTGTCAGAGATTATGATTGTTGTTGTGTACACAAATGGATGAAAGGCAGCAGAAATGTTACAGTTTCACTTAAACACAGTGTTGTGTCAGCAGGGCTTTGGAGTGATGAATCTGGTGAAGATAACTGATCTCACTGTCTTATGAAGGTTCTCCCCAGATAAACACAATCCTCGTGGACCGAGTTAACTCTACTAGTGCATGTTCATTTACATCCTGCTGTGAGTGTGTGTGCGCGTGTATGTGTCTGTCTGTGTCTGCGTGTGCACACATGTGTGTGTCTGTGTACCGTGTGAGTCCGGAGCACGGCGATGATCTTGGACAAGGCCATATTCCACAGTTCATCGGTGAACGCTCTCGTCACCAGCCCTGTTGTGGCGTGGAGGATATGGTCCTCCACAACAAAGAATCTGAGGACAAACAGGAAATCCCTTATTTTAACACCTGAACCCCAAAATAAAACAAAACAACAACAAAAATCTTCCCTAGAGACAGAACCTAATACAAGGGGAAGAGCTTACCCAACGATCTGATTAAAGTATCTTCTGTAGCCTTCTACGGTCTCATGCTGAAAACACAGAAATTTATGTTAATACATCAGTCAGAGTCAGAGTTTCTTTATTGTCATTCGCATCTCATGTGGTACATGTGGTGGAGCGACATTATGTACACAGGGTCCCAGTTACATCCAACAATAAAAAGTATAAGAAAAACAGTAATAACATCTAAGATATGAACTAAGAAAAACATCAACTAAACATACACTAAGCACTCATAACATAAATCATTGAACATCAGCACAAACATGAACATGAGTCTGCGAGCAGATGTGCACGCATGAACACATCAACATTGAAACAGATCAGCAGCAACGTGATATGGTTTTTCACAGTGATTACTCTAGCTAGAGATTCATGAGTCTAACAGCCTCAGCCTCAGTGATTTATACGTTTTGTAATTATACGTTCATTATACATGAACGTATAATTACAAAAAAAGAAAATAATATATGTGTTTGTCCTTCTAGAAAGGTCCTAGTGGATTGACAGCATTATTTCCTTCCAGTGTGGTTTGTGTTTAATTCAAGACTTGATTGCATAAATGTTCTGCCACAAGAACAAGAACAAGTTCTTGCAAGAACAACTGAGTATAGAAAAAATATAGACTTCAATTTCAGGGGCAGTAATTTGACTAAACCAAATGAAACAAGGCAGTTAGTGATGCCAGGTCATCGTATTTTAGCAATCTTATTCAACTGAACAAAAAGAATCCTAAAGTGTTATTTGATACTATCAGCAGTATTGTATCTCCCCCAGCGAACCAGGCTTCATTAACCTCAAACAATGACTGTAACATGTTTCTCAATTTTTTCATAAAGAAGGTGATGGACCTGAAATCCAATATATCTCCAAGAACCTCTACTTTTCAAGATGAGCCTCAGTGTTCTGTGTCATTTTCTTATTTTGTTCCAATTACATTAAATGACCTGACCTTATTAATTGCCAAAATGAAACTTTCTACTTGTTCACTGGAAATATAACTTCCTCTTTGCTTGTCCAGACTCTAGCCTGTATTGGTAGCCTGTATTTAGCAAACCTAGCAAACCTACAGGCTAGTATTTGGCCTCCATAGCCTGTATTTAACCAGTACAGGCAAAAGAGAGCACATTACACCAGTTTTGGCCTCACTGCACTGGCTACTGGTTCACCTTCAAATCTAGTTCAAAATACTCCTGTATGTCTACAAATCACTGAACAGTTTCTCTCTCTCCCCCCCCCCCC